TATAAGTAAAGAAATAATAAATAATATTAATAATCAGTGGGCACGGCGGACCTTGCGCAGACACGTGGCATAAAGCGCCGTTCTTCTATTTCGTACAGGCTTTGCTGCTTGGTTTCGCCGGAGCATCTTCATCGCTGGACAGCGCCGTGATTGACACGTGCTGTTCCGAGACGCACTGGTTATTGCCTGGACTCAGCAGCGTTCAGCTCGTCGACGTACTTCCGGCAGCTCTCCTATCTGGCCACGTGACATCAAGTGAATCACCTATAAAGGATCGACCCAGCGACTTCACCTTCAGTGGGCACGGCGGACCTTGCGCAGACATGTGTCATAAAGCGCCGTTCTTCTATTTCGTACAGGCTTTGCTGCTTGGTTTCGCCGGAGCATCTTCATCGCTGGACAGCGCTGTGATTGACACGTGCTGTTCCGAGACGCACTGGTTACTGCCTGGACTCAGCAACGTGCAGCTCGTCGACGTGCTTCCGGCAGCTCCCCTATCTGGCTACGTGACATCAAGTGAATCACCTATAAAGGATCGACTCAGCAACTTCACCTTCAGTGGGCACGGCGGACCTTGCGCAGACATGTGGCATAAAGCGCCGTTCTTCTATTTCGTACAGGCTTTGCTGCTTGGTTTCGCCGGAGCATCTTCATCGCTGGACAGCGCCGTGATTGACACGTGCTGTTTCGAGACGCACTGGTTACTGCCTGGACTCAGCAGCGTTCAGCTCGTCGACGTACTTCCGGCAGCTCCCCTATCTGGCCACGTGACATCAAGTGAATCACCTATAAAGGACCGACCCAGCAACTTCACCTTCAGTGGGCACGGCGGACCTTGCGCAGACATGTGGCATAAAGCGCCGTTCTTCTATTTCGTACAGGATGGTGCTTGTTACACTACATGTAGAAGTGACTGCCGCGGTCTCGTGGTCCTGCCGTGCAGTGTCTTTGCATCATGTATGATGTGTACTGTGTGAGGCTGTTGGTATTGTGTGGGGATGTCGAGGTAAATCCGGGCCCTACGGTAGAGGAAATGTTTGAAACGCTCTTTTCGGGTCAAAATAACATAACTTCGGAAATCGCAGCACTTAGAGCTCAACAGGACGACATGCAAAAGCTTATGAGTGAGTGGGCCTTGCGTTTCGCGGAAATGGAAAAACGGGTAGCTAGGGTAGATAATTTGGAAAAAAAATCGCTTCCCTCCAGGCCAAAATAATTGACCTCGAAGATAGAAGCAGACGCGCAAACTTGGTCGTTTTTGGAGTCAACGAGGATCCTGCGGAAACCAAGCCCGATTTGAAACGCAAAGTACTCACCGAAATCTTTGACAAAAAGCTTCATGTTCCTTGCAGGTCAGTTTGTAGGATACATAGGATCGGAAAGCCAGGAAACCAAAGACCAGTGATTATATTGTTTCAGGATTTCAATGAAAAAGAGCAAGTTTTGATGAACGCTAATAAACTGAAGGGTACCGAGGTATCTATCAAAAATGATTACTCGAAAGAAACACTGCGCAAACGCAAGCTACTGTGGGAGAGCGCAAAAAATGAACAACTGCAGGGAAAGAAAGTAGCCCTTGTACACGACAAACTTCGAGTAGACAAAGTAAAATTCGTATGGGACGACATCACAAACTCTCGAATTAAACTCGGCGCTTCTCCGAACAGGAAATTCAGCGCTTGACCAAGATCTCCTGAGGATAAGCAGCTCCGTCTTTTAAACATAAATACTCGCAGTGTTGCAAATAAATCGGAACAACTTGAAGCTATCATATTGGGCCATAACCCACATGTTGTAGTTATTACAGAGACTTGGTTACGGGGTGATATCGAGGACGATACTGTTTTTCCCCCTCCTTATCAAGTATTCCGCCGTGATAGATCGTCTAGGGGCGGCGGTGTTGCCGTTCTGGTAAAACATGGAATTAACTGTACTGCTTTGCGACAGATAAGTAATCATGAGAGCCTTACTTTAAAAGCATCTTGTTGGGGGCGTTGTTTTCTCATTTTTGCGGTTTATCGTCCACCCGATTCCCCACCGGAGTACTTAAAAGCTTTGTATGACCATATGGCGACATTTCGGCATGACAGAATTTTTCTGGTAGGCGATTTTAACTTGCCTGGCGTTGATTGGGAAAATACTATTTGCAGTACAGGATTAAGCACTCATGCGTCTTACCTTTTTGATATAATGTTAAGCCATGACATGCACCAAATCTTAACACAACCAGCACGTGTTTCAGGGTCAAGCAGCTCGATGCTTGATCTAGCTTTTCTGAGCCGTATAATTGAAAATGTTACCGTGAATGTTAGTTGCGGTATTTCTGACCATTTAATTGTTGAGTTTACCTGTGTTTTTGAAAATATACGCTACCCCGGGCCTCGGCCCAAATCTGTATTTGTCATCAAAAATTTTTCAATGGCCCAGGATGAAAGTGTGTTAGACCATCTCGACCTTTCCCTCAGCTGGTTTTGTGGTTCCGATGCCGTCGAATGATGGGATAAATTCAAAAACATTTGCTTTTATTGCCTCGACAACTTCATTCCAAACAAAATAAGACATGTACGAAAAACAACTCTATGGATAACGCGTGAAATTTTGCATATCAAAAGGAAAATCAAAAGGCTAAGACGAGGAGCGGCTGACCGTAATACTATTAGTGCCAACCAAATCGTTCTCAACTCCGCAGTCGCAAACTCAAAGCGTCTGTACTTTGAAAATACTTTGCCAAACTATATCAGAAATGCCCCACAGAAGTTTTGGCGTTTCCTGTCCAGTGAAAAAAAGCCTATAAGACAACTTAACCACGGTGGCATGCTCCTTGTTGAACCTCTACATATTGCTGAACATTTTAATGCTTATTTCCAAAGTGTTTTTTCTAAATCGAGTGATCCCATGCCTACAATTCATGTGCCTTCAGCTCCCGATGATGACTTTATATCTTTACCTGGTGTTGTTTCATTGCTCCTTAACCTTAAAACAAAAGCTTCCCCATGCCCGGACAAATTGCCCAATATTTTTCTTCGTCGTTATGCCGAGATGTTGGCTCAATTTCTGGTTATAATTTTTCGCGCATCTCTTTCAACCGCAATTGTACCTCCTGACTGGAATATAGCCCGCTTGGTACCCGTCTTCAAAAAAGGTGACCCTGCATGCCCTTGTAATTACAGGCCAATTTCAATGACATCATCGTGTTGCAAACTTCTTGAGCATATGATAGCTAACTACATTCACAAATTTTTACATGACCGTAATTTGCTTTCTTCTGTTCAACATGGTTTTAGAAAAGGTTTCTCTACAGTAACGCAATTAACATCGGTTGTTCACAGTTTTGCCGCCATTCTTGACAAGTCGGGACAAGTAGATGCTATTTTTCTAGATTTCTCCAAAGCTTTTGATGTTGTTTCCCATGTTCACCTTATCAATAAATTACAATCTACTGGTCTTCTTGCATTTATAGTTAACTGGATATCTTCGTACCTGAGTAACCGCAAGCAATTCGTTCGCATTGATAATGACTGTTCACAATCCATCCCCGTGTCATCTGGTGGCCCGCAAGGAAGTGCCTTAGGTCCTTTGTTGTTTCTCATATGTGTTAATGATATTGTGGATGTAATTACTGGCCCTGTTCAAATAAGGCTGTTTGCAGATGATTGTGCATTATTTAATGAAATAACATGCCGAGAAGACCAATCAGTATTGAATTCCAATCTTTGTAATATATATGACTGGTGTACTAAGTGGAATATGAACCTAAATGCCGACAAATCAGTTTTTATGAAAATAACCAATAAGAAAAATTCTCTATCCTTCCCTTACAACCTTTCAGAATATAAGTACCTGGGTTTTACCATAACAAACACTTTAAGTTGGAACAAGCACATTTCAGACATTTGTGCGTCATCCTTTCGTAAACTGAGCCTTTTAAGACATAAGCTCAAACATGCTCCTGCAAGTGTTAGAATGCTAGCCTATACATCTATTGTAAGACCTAAATTGGAGTATGCATGTATAATCTGGGACCCTTACAAAAAAACTAACATTCATGCACTTGATTCATGCACTTGATGATTCAGCATAAAGTGGTTCGGTTCGTTTACTCTAAATACCGTTCGAGCGATTCCCCAACCCAACTCATGAGAGACCATAACATACCAACCTTAGAACTAAGACGTAAAATCCAAAGATTAAAATTTCTTTGTCTTCTCAAGAATAACAAATTGTCAATGAGACCAGAACAATGCATCCAACCACTCACCGCTCGCAGAACAAGACACCGGCATGCCGACTCTCTAACGCCCTTCAATGCTAGAACTAACATCTTCAAATTCTCCATTTTACCGCGCACTGTAACCGAATGGAATCAATTACCAGCATTATTCATAAATAGCATAGACTCAATTGAACATATTGTATCTTGACCTGTATTGTTAAAGTGTTAAATGTCTTTCTTATTCATTGTTTGAGTTATGTCCTTATTCTTCGCGCTTTTTATGTTCTTGATCTTCTGTTGTCCTTATTACGAGCTTTGTAAATACGTCCCTCCTGCTTGGGCCCTTCACTGGGCCTGCAGTATGATGTAAATAAATAAATAAATAATTAGTTTCCCGATTGGAAAGGTACTTGAATTTTAGTGATGATTAAGACGCCATTGTTTTACGAATTTTCGTTTTTGTAATAGTTGAGCTTATTGCGCAAGTGTCAATGGCGAATCTTGGTTATCACGAGTGGCGAGAAATGCGTCGACAACACGGACCACTCGCCCTGCAGCAGACGACGCGTGCGGCTTGAAGCAAAAATGGCACAGCAGCGCCACTAGTTCTCGCGTCGGCCACCGCGGTCACATCGGAGAGCGCGCACTAAGGGAGCTTCGAAACTGACCTGTTTCTAGTAACGTTGGTTCAAGCTGCAGCTGGAGCGCTCTTACGCGAGTGAGGAGAGGAGTGGCGGTGAGGGCGAGAAGAAAAAAAAAAAAAGAAGCGCTGCGATTAGAGAGGGAATGAGGTCTCGCGAGTCGCATCAAATGGCAGACCAATAGGATATCCTTGAGTTTCAATACGAACAAAATAGTTCGAATCGGTGCTCCTTTCCCGTTCACAGTCGCCAAACGAATAGCGTGACGAACGCCTCGCGCCTCTGTTCCTCTTGAGCGTGTATAGCGGTGCCACGGGAAAGTGAACGACGACCAAGGTGCGTATGGCGACATTTTTTTCGAGCAGCCTGTTCATTTACGACCATTAGCGCTGCACATAAATGAGGAAAGAAGAAAATGGACGCACATGATGCGCGCTTTATTACCGCGTCAAACACTTTCGAATGTGCAGCACGCGCAAAACAAAAAGAGGAAAAAGACATTTGTCAGATCCGACGCGTTGTCTGAGTCACCATTGTCCTATAAGCAGGAATGGAAACCACCACGCGATGTTTTCGCCGCTGCGACACGCGTTATGAGATGTATCGAAATTTGTGTGAATAGAGTATTGCGCAAATCATGGGCTTGCCGGGTGAGACAAGTGAAATGGAGTCCGACGAACAACTAGTATTCCGGTGTAACGTCAGCATCACGTCACTTATCGCAAATAAGTGCACGCTTGGGTCTGTGGCGCATTCGGGCAACTCTTCCATCTATCGGAGTTGTATGACGACATATACCGTAAATTACTTTCTTGTCTAAGCGGATAGCCGTCATTGCAATCAGAACTAGTTTTCTTCTAGAAAAATGCCTGAATAAGCTGTTTTTTTTCTGAAGCATTTAAAAGACTTCGCGGCAGATCAATATAAATCCACGCAGTGCATGGTCTGGACTCAAGCCTAAGCAGGCATTTTTATTCAATTTTGCCGGTATTTTTCCCCCACTGACAATGGCACTGACTCCGCAACCACAATTATCGTGACACGGGCACCTTCACGTTGTCGCGTTATGCTTTTATAATCTGTGTTGACATTGACTCTGAATCGCATGCGGCGCATTATGCGCATACCATGGGTCACAGAATGCGCTCGTATGTGCCACAGTGTATACGGGTCTCCTGAGGTGCGAGACATTGAAGTCGCGCTATTTATACTATGACAGGCGAATTGTGTTTATCAGATAGATAGATAGATAGATAGATAGATAGATAGATAGATAGATAGATAGATAGATAGATAGATAGATAGATAGATAAGACAGCAAGTGTTCTTGTATTGCTAAGAATTTGTTCGCATTAAAAAGGGGGAAATTAAAGAAACAGCACACCTTAAAAGTACATGCACTATCACACTCATGCACGTCACCATCAACAATGACAACTTTTATAGCAATTCAGTCTTTGATATTGTGCTTCCCTCCTAAACTTTCATTATTTTAATGATATATAACGGTTTAGGAAGAGCTGACGTATGCAGCCTGCGCTGGTGGGTACGTAAAAAGCCTCTCTAATTTAGGTTTTCTCTAATCTAAAGCACACTTCAATATTCCTGCGTCAAAAAAAAAAAAAAAGAAGACGGCTTGCACCTACACTCTACCCCGAGTTTGGCCAAGTTGCCAGGAGGATGGGTTAAACGTGAAGTGCGAATTCTCGTCTGGTCTTCCCGTTGCAGCAGAGTGTAAGGCAGTAAGCAACTTCTGAGCACTCCACGAGTTTGTCCTCATGCACGGGACAGCATTTATTTTCCTTGCAGGTTTGAGATCTTTAGGTTCATGGATTTTATGACAAGAGTCTTTAGGTTCAAAGGTATGGAAAAAAAATATACTGAGTAAAGTTACAGCTGCACGTTGACGCTTACCAGGTAGCGCGAGCGTGACGCTCACTGCACCAAGCTCGGAAGCGACTACGCTCGACATACACCTTACTCGGTGTCGCAGCTATAAGTGCGTAGCATTTAAGGAGCCGGCCTTTCGTCCCTCCATACACCTCGCGTGACATGATAACGCTCAAAATCAAGTGGTTGGTAAAGGCCTCAAACAAAAATCTTGCAATTCTCAATATTACGGTAAGGTAAATGATTAATAATAAGGCTCAAAATTACGATTAACAGAAGTAACCGAAACGTAATCGTGATAATGTACTGGAAATCACTGGAAACTCTTCGGAAACCTGCGGCTAGCACCTATGCCGTGCAATAGCAACGTAAGCTCTTAAAGCTTGAAATCTGTCTCTTTTACAAATCGACCGAACGGCAACCCTTCAAATGGCCCAGAAACTGTGCAATGTCCCCATATAGAAAGATTATTAAGACCACAATTAGAACATGTTCAACATAGCAAATCTTTAGCTATCGTGCATGAGTGGCAGTTTTCCGTGTATATATTTGCCATACGACTGAATTTGATTCACTTGAATTAAGGACAAATATATGTCCACAAAGAACATGTCCACCATGCAATTTTTGTCAACTTCATTCCATATTATGGTGCTCACAGACAAAACAATGGCTGTGCGCACAATAGCTAAAGGCCGACTGTGCATTTGGTGCCAATAACTTGTAAAGCTTGGCTCATAACTGCTAACGTCGACTTTCTTGCACTCCATTAATAAGTACTTTTGATAGACTGCATTTCGCAAGTTCAACATAAAGTTCTGATTTCTTCAGTATTTTATCTCGGCGTCAACGGGCATAGTTATGGCAATGGGCTATACCCGTCTCTCTTAAAACACATCCCTATTCTGTGTTGTTATGCAGTGCTTGCATAAATGTTTGCTTGCAACGGTTCCAATCGTTTCAGTGTCATACCCGCATCATCTTGAGAGATACTGAAGACCCTACAGTTAATTCCGGCACTGTTTTGGATTGGCGCGGTCAACTCCTCTTCTCCGGCATCTTTCTGTTTAGCATGTGTTCATATAAATGTACACATGCTACGCCCGTGTTTTCTTGATACTCTATCATAGGACATGCCTTGTAAGACTTTTCTAACCTGTTGATCACTACGCCTAAAAATTCTGTGTTCTGTTCTACCTTTAGTTCAGTCAAGTTTTTATGAGTGGTCTACAAATTGTAAAGGTAAGGGTAAGAGTAGCATCCTTATACATCCTTGGCTGTCTTAGAAACCGCTGATACATTCCTCTGATGAAATTTCGGAGCATGTATTATGGGTGTTCCTATCTTCCTTTTACCTACTTGCTTGCGGCCGGTGATATTTCACTGTTGCGTCCTTTTTTTCTTTTGCCCACTTGCTTGCGGCCGCAGATATTTTACTCCTCCATCCACAGGTCTCGATTGTGGCCTCTGTCAGTTGCCAGAAACGCTTAAACATATAGGTTGTTTAAAGTTAAGGTTTATGATTTTTTGAATTAGGTGCTCGAAAGCAGGCGAGAATCACTTGTGCAAATAAGTTAAGCGGCCAGGAAGACAGAAAGTTAGATGATAATTATCGCTGTCAGCAGCCGAATTACAATAAATTCAATGATCAACTTTTTACTGGCTGCGGTAAGTTGGCAACTTTATATTGAAAAAATGTAGGAAGTGGTGCTTGTACACAGTTTCAGTTTGAAGATTTTTTCTAGTACACCTGTGCTCCGAGATACCTGGCTCCAAATTTTAATTGTGTTTCGCATATTTATGCATGCAAGAGGGTGAGGATACGCGCAAAGCTATATGCTCCCTAAAGTGACGCATCTGTTGCATGCCGTGTTTAGTGCGTGAAGAGGATGGAAACGTAGGAACACATGACAACAATTACCCTTGCACTCTCAGCTGGCGAAATCAAAGTGTGACAGCGTGTTGCGTCATGAGCCTTGCGAATGATCCTGATGAACGCGATAACAAGATACCATTTTCCGCGACGCTTTTTTCGTGACATTAGATTACATGGAGACATCTTGTGAATGCATTAGCTTCACCTTCATGTACTATAGGGTGCCTCCGGTAACACAGCGTGTCAGCATGGAAGGTCTAAATCCACGTGGAGTCCTTTCGAGCTAATATGGCTGCTTCTGGCGCGAAGTATTCTCCCAAAGAAAAGGGAGACGTGGTGCTCACACTGGCTGAAATGAGTGGCAACGCTTGGTTAGCAATAAAGCTTTACGCGTCTTGGCACCCACACCGTCCGCTTCCAACAAGGCCCACTTTCATAAACGCATCTCGATGCTTTTGAACAATTGCTCTGTTCACCTTCCAAGACGGACCCTGAAGGCAATCATCGATGAAGACTTTGAAATCGACGTCGTCGCGTGCGTAACCTTGATGCCAGAGCTCAGCATCCGGCAGATTGCCGACCAGTGTGGTCACAGCGTCAGAACAGCCACAGATGTTCTAAGAAAGCACAAGCTCCATCCATATCACATTCACCTTCATGAGGACCTAAATTAGGCGAACTTTAGAAGGCGAGTTGACTTCTGCAGTTGGGGCCTGATCAAAACTGATCAAGAAAATGACTTTTCGTACAGAATAATTTGGACTGATGAAGCTCGGTTTTGTCGAAGTGGAAGTGTTATTCTTCGCAACGCCCATTATTGGGCACAAGAAAGCCCACACTGGCTGAGGCAGCACAAGCATCAAGTTCGCTAAAGTGTCGGGGACAGGATCATCGGGCCTCACTTTCTTTAGGACAACTTGAATGGGAAGGTGTACACAGAAAAAAAATATTAGGTGTTGTTGTTGATGACCTTGTCTGCAGTCTTTTTATGAGTGACCTGTGCCAAGTATAGCTTCAGCACGATTGAACACCACATTTTTCTACCAGGGCGAAACTGGTTGGACAGACGTTTTTCATAACAGTTGATTCGGCGCGGAGGAGCGATGTTTTGGCCACCAAGATCTTCTGACCTCTCACCACTCGACTTTCTTTTTAGAGCTACGTTAAAGATTGAGTTTACGTAACAAAGCCGAGCGGTGTTAATGAGATGGAGGACAGAATAATATCTGCCTGTTCGAGTATTTCTGCAGAAGTAGTGCGCCGAGATTATCGAGTCGACGTGAGAGCAGTTCATGCTTTGCGTTGCTGCTGAAGGCAGGCATTTTGAACACTTTTTGGGGCATTCACATCTTGAGAGGTGAAGAGTTACGTTGAGATTTGTGCATGACCGATTTAAGCTTATGTAGCAGTAGAAAATATGCATTAGCAAGAATAAAGCTTTTCAGATAATATTGCTGGAGTTGTTGCTTTTGATTTTAATAAAAGTTACAGTACTCAGACATCAGCAGTTACGATAGTCGCGTAGCACAGGCAACGATCATGCACGCTTCTCTGGCCACTTTTACGCCCG